CATATGTCCAAGTCCAATGTCCAGTCCAGTCCAATAGCATAAAAATAGTTGGACATATGTCCAGTGCCAACACTGCTTTAAAAGTATAGAAATGTATTTTTCCAATATATCTTTCAGCGAAAATCTAATCATGTTTACATTTTAGAATTCTAGAAGCCTTATCGCTTGTATCACACGGTACTATTGAAGATATATATTTCAGCAAGAGCCTAAACATGTTTGCATTTTAGAAATCCAGAAGCTTTATCGCTCGTAACACGCGGTACGATTGAAGATACATATTTTAGCAAGAACTTAAAACGTGTTTGAATTTTAGAATTCTAGAAACTTTATCGCTCGTAACACGCGATATAATTGAAGATAAATATTTCAGCAAGAACCTAAAACGTGTTGCAGTTTAGAATTCTGGAAGTCTTATCGCTTGTAACACGCGGTACAATTGTCGCGTCATTGTTCACGTGCTCAACGACTTTCTCTGTCACAACATTCTGAAAGCTAAAAAAACAAACAGGCAGATCAATATCTATACAATAAAGATAATTCTGATTTTATCTTTGCAATAACGACATGAAATGAATATCAAAGATTAAATAATCTCACTATCGTTATCGATTATAACTGCTGATAACATTTGTTAAATGAATTTCTAAAGTAAATTTTTTCACAAAATAGGTATTAAGCAACACATGATGGATAGAAACACTGGCTGGATAAAGCTTCATACAATTAAGAAAATATATATTTAATATGGGGAATAAACATGAGATGGATCGATTTTGTGCAGTGTATTTGAATTTAGATTTTATATGGTATTTGTAATATTTGTATTTGTACTTATTTTGTCTTATTACCTATGACCAGACAATAACACTTCTTATACCCTACGATCTTGATATAATGACCAGGGTATAAATTATCAAATTGAACTACCACGAATCTTTTTATTGTCGGAAAGAAGCGGTGTTCAATTGTTTCCTCAGCAACGCAATAAACGGTGTCTAAACATGTCTTGGGCACTAATGAAAAGGATCTTATGCTGTGCTCTTATTCTAACAAATTAACGTTGACCTAACCTAACATTTTGGATCAATGTACAGCATGAATTATATTATTGCTAATATAAATGGTATATATATATATATATAAATATATATATATTATACATAGATGCATCAATAAAGTAACTTATTAACCTGCTTTAACGATCCAATAAATTTAGCTCTTACGTAGCATATTATACCATTGTTTACAATTGTTAATTTCCAAATGAGGTTAATTGCTTTTAACGATCACCAATCACCAATATTACACAGATTGAATCATTTGTAAAAAAAGCGGTGAAAAGTCGAATAAAGAAAAGAAAAAAAAATCGGAAATGAATAAATGAATTTCACACCACTTATAAAATCATACAAACAAACAAATGTTTAAGAATAAAATTGCTTTCTATGTTATTTTAAAAAATATTCCTAATCAATTGAACTTTCAAAAAGCAACGTTTATTTCTTTGGCACCATTTACTCTTACAGTGTGATCTGACGCACCTAATGTCATCATCTTCTATGTTCAGTCTGCTACTATATAATATGATGCAAATTTGTCATCGAGCATCAACACTACACATATTTAGTTACTGCAAAAATCCAGATCTCGGTGAATTTTTAAAAGTCCGATTATTGTTACTGTGCTACTATTTCATTGCCCTAATTGGTGTCAAGTTAGTATTTGATAAGAGATTAATATGATAGGGATAAATAAACCTTTTGATTGGTTCTGTTGTCTCTATTGTGATATATACAGTATGAATATAAATGAGATAACGATAAGATCGATTCGTGACGTATAAACTATAACGTGTAAACCCGTCACGTAAATTGTAATATCTTTTGAAACACTATCAATGGATTAATATTAATATGGTAATGTTATACTTATCATGCATTCCTATTATACCCGACTACTGCTATCCTCCATAAAAGCAAATCCTTGAAAACATTATTTCCCATTCAAAATCCCTTAGTAGATATGGCATCCGTCATACAGCCACCACTTTCTGTTAATACCTTCATTCATTATGTTGATCGTCCTAAAGGTCGGATCGCAAGCATGACAGACTTGCAGGATGAGAAAGTTGAAAAACAAAAATTCAATCCTTACATTCCTTCGGATACTATGATGGATCCTCGCGATTCGGATACTCCAGATAATTGGATCCCACGTCATCCTGAGCTTA